CTGCCGCCCCTCCCCGGGGGCCCCTCCCCGCCTGCACGGTGTCCACGCCCTGTTCAGCGGGGCCTCCAGGCCTTGTCCTGGTCACTGGTTTCTCTGTCAGAGAGACCCAGAGACGCCGTTGGAGTTTGCTTCTTTGTGCTGCCTGAAGCAAAACTGGCAGCTGCAACTTCGTCTCCACCCAGGCGTGTCCCTGCCAGGTGGCCGAGGGCGCGGGGGCCCTGGGTCCCGAGGCCCACCGGCCGGGCCCTGGCTGCGCCCATGGCCATGTCTGGCCTGGAACGCAGCCAGGGTGCCCAGTCTCCTCTGGGGCTGCCCAAGGCCTGCTTGTTTATATGGCCCAGAGCTGACCCCGACAGTGAGCCAGTCCTGGACTTGGGGTGCCTCGGCACCCCAGGAGTGAAGACCCGACTGCCCACTGTCACCATTCTGCTGCGCTGGGCCACTCCCCAGCACCCCAGTCCCGGGAGCTTTGCCCCCAGCGCCCCCTGCTCGTCCCTGGCTGTGTTTCCTCATCACCACTTTTCCCTTGCTGCAGAATTCTTCCAGTGACATTTGCAAAGGACCTGCCGCCCCACCCCTCACCCCCTCCTCCGAGCTCTCTAGGGCCACTAGCCCTCAGGTGGGGTCCCCGGCCTCTCCTTCGCTTCCCCCACCTCTCTGGTCTCAGGTTCAGGACACCGGGAGGCTGAGGCCTCCGGTCTGTGCTGCCCATCGGGGGCTGCCGGGCGAGCCCACAGGAGCTGAGTCCGAAACCTCCCTCTCTGGGACCCCCCTTGGGCTGCCACCGCGGATGGCGAGGTGATGGCAAAGGGGTCTGGAGCGCCACACAAGTAGGCCTGCACCCTGGTCCCAGACTCACTGCCCTCGCGCTGTGCTGGTCGAGGGGCCCCCTGTGTGGGCGGTCAGGTGCCCCCGCCAGCTGCCCGCGGGACTTCACGGACTGCCTGCTGGTGGCCCGGCTCCCGGCCTGGCTCCGGCCTCGGCGCTTGTTGACGGCCCCCGACAGCGGGGCGTGGGCTTGGACGCGACTTGCAAGGGCCGCCGCGCGCGGCCCGGGCGTTTGAGCTGGCAGCCAGCAGCATCAACAAGCCCGCAGCGGGGGAGGGCGGGAAGGCCAAGGCCGCATTGGCTGGCCGCGCACCCTCCTCCCGGCCGGCGCCTTAAAAGCGCCGCACGCGGCCCAGGCGCAGACCCGAGGCCATGGCTGCGCTGGGCGTCACGGTCGCCCTGCTGGTGTGGGTGGCCACCCTGCTGCTGGTGTCCATCTGGAAGCAGATCTACAGCAGCTGGAAACTGCCCCCTGGCCCTTTCCCTCTGCCCATCCTTGGGAATCTCTTCCAGATAGATCTCAAGAATATCCCCAAGTCTTTCAGCAGGGTAAGAGGGGCGCACGCGGCGCAGCTGTGCGCCTGCACCCACCTCGGGGCCAGGCGCCAGCCTCTGCCCGCAGGCCCGGGACTGGGGCCACTGGGGTGACCGTCTGGGCCCTGGAGGCCCCGCAGCGCACTCCGCGCTCTGGCCCTGGGGCTGCATCTCCGGAGGGCGGGGCGAGGGCAGCGCCAGGCGGGGAGCTCTCTGCCTGCGATGCCACAGAGCGGCGGCAGCGGCCCTGGGCAGCCCCTGGCGGCCCAGCCCTGCAGTAAGCTGTGAGTTCCTGGGGCCCGGGCAGGGGCGGGCTGGACAGGGGGCCCGTGCAGGCGGGCAGGGGCGCCTCAGTGTCCGCACCCTCGGGTGGGGCCGAGACCTGGCAGCGGCAGTGGGCTGATGGGGTGAGCTCTTCCCTCACCGCGTCCCCCGCAGCTGGCGGAGCGCTACGGGCCGGTGTTCACGGTGTACCTGGGCTCGCGCCGCGT